TCGCTGTGTATGTCACCAGCGTGCGCGCGCAGCATCCTCGCAAAGCCTGCCAGATGGTGACGTCACCAGCGTGCGCGCGCAGCATCCTCGCAAAGCCTGCCAGATGGTGACGTCACCAGCGTGCGCGCGCAGCATCCTCGCAAAGCCTGCCAGATGGTGACGTCACCAGCGTGCGCGCGCAGCATCCTCGCAAAGCCTGCCAGATGGTGACGCACCCGCACGGAGTTCCCCGTATGCACCTCATAATTACCCGCAACAGGTTTTTTTCTGTGTCGCGGCGTGTGTGGGTGTTTGTCTCGCACTCTCCCCCCGGCGGCGTCGGCGTCGGCGGCGGGGAGGAGGGAAGCGGAGGCGTCTCCGCATTGCTGCGTCGGCGATTCACGCCAAAGGAATGATCCTGGATTGTTCTGCGCATTCTTCTCTCCTAATGGACACGCGCGCATCTTATGTCATGCTCCCCCTCCCTTGCCGCCCGCCGCGCCGCCCGCCGCGCCGTGCCACCCGCGCGCTCACGGTCGGAGCACACCCGCGGGAGAAGCGCGAGCGGCTAAACTAGTTTCGCCAGCAGGTTTGCGGGGAATGCCGTCCGTGCGGCTCCGGAGACCTGCGCTCTGACCGCATCGCCGACTTACGCCGCCGCCGCCGCCGCTGTCGCTGTCGCCACTGTTGTCACTCTTCGTCTAACAAACGCATACTTCTTGCATTTTCCGATACAGCACGCGCGCGTGCTCATTAGATATCATGCTGCTGCTACTGTTGTTGTTGCGGTTGCTGCTGCTGCTGCTGTTGTTGTTGTTGTTGTTGCTGCTGCTGCTGGTGGTAGTGGTGGTGGTGGTGGTGCTGCTGCTGGTGATGGTAATGGTGGTGGTAGTGGTGGTAGTGGTGGTGGTTGTGGAGGTGGTGGCGACGGTGGCGGCGGCGGCGACGGCGTGGTGTTGGTGGTGCTGCTGCTGGTGGTGGTGGTGTTGGTGCTGCTGCTGGTGGTGGTGGTGGTGGTGGCGGTGGTGGCAGCGGTGGCGGCGATGACGGCGTGGTGGTGGTGGTGGTGCTGCTGGTGGTGGTGGGTACGGTGGCGTCGATGGTGGTGCTGGTGGTTGCGGTGGTGGTGATGGTGGCGGCGGCGGTGGTGGTGGTGGTGTAGCTCTAGAATTATAGCCCGCGTACAGTTGCCGCAGTGTCCTAGAGCTACTGGTGGTGGTTGTGGTGGTGGTGGCGGCGGTGGTGCTGCTGCTGCTGCTGCTGCTGCTGCTGCTGCTGCTGCTGGTGGTGGTGCTGCTGCTGCTGCTGCTGCTGCTGCTGCTGCTGCTGCTGGTGGTGGTGGTGGTGGTGGTGGTGGTGGTGGTGGTGTAGCTCTAGGACTATAGCCCGCGTACAGTTGCCTCTAGTGTCCTAGAGCTACTAGTGGTGGTTGTGGTGGTGGTGGTGGTGGCGGCGGTGGTGCTGCTGCTGGTGTTGGTGGGGGTGGTGGTTGCGGTGGTGGTGATGGTGGCGGGTGTTGGTGGTGCTACTGCTACTACTGCTGCTACACAAGCATACGTGAACTCGTGCACATACAGACGCATCCACGCACGTACGTACGCACACAGTCGCATGCATCCTAGCACGCACGCACGCACGCACGCACGCGTGGGCACGGCACGTTTATCGTCGCTAGCTAGCATCAACACCGATCGTTATTATCTGTACGATCTAGGCGCCTTAAGTCGACCGACCGAACACACGCACACACATACACACGAAGCCAGTATCGGCGAGTTATCTAGGCTGGCAGTAGCAGCACCACCAGCATCATCATCATCAACAACAGCAGCGGCAGAAGTAGCAGCAGCAGCAGCAGTACCACCGCCAGCAGCACAAGTAGCAGCGGTGGCAGCAGCAGAAACGGCCGCTAGATACGCATACGTCGCGACTTACTCTGCCGCTCTAGTTTCGCTAGCGACGTCAACACACATGTATGCAACTACGCACGCACGCACGCACGCACGCGCGCGCACAAACACACCCGCCCTCACCGGAGAGTTGAAAGTGAAATAGAAATTAAATGCGTCAAACGAAAACACATTTTGAAATTTACCAAGTGATGCTACAGTGACACGTGTAACTAGGCGTACAAGTACAGCTTCTGGGCGGTCGCCGTGCACTCTTGAAGCGCAGTCGATTATTTAATGAAATTTCGTTGATATTTACGTCACGCGATATCATATTAGTATCACCGGGGGCGAGGCAGACAGAGAGGGGGGAGAGGGAGAGGTAGACAGAGAGGGGAGGGGGAGCGGCAGGCAGAGAGGGGAGAGGAGAAAGAACCACGGCTGCAGACGGGCGAGGGACGGTGGCGCGGGTGGAGCCACCCACAGTGGCACAGCCCCGGTCTGCTTCAGTGCGAATTAACCTGAATAAATAAGATGGGGAAATTCATAAACCGGAGAGAGCAGAGGCAATTGGAGCGTTTCTTCATAAAATATAATGCTAAATAAATACGAAATCTATTTACTACCAAAGTCTTAATGTTTCTCTACTTTCTTTCACCTATTATTGCCGACAATTTCCTGCAAATGCCGTCCAAATGCTCATCTGCAACAATTTGAACAATAGTTTGTTACTATATATTTATGTGTCAGTGTGCAGCGGCAGCCATGGCGGCAGCCAGCGTTTGTTCAAATTGTTGCAGATGAGCATTTGAACGGCATTTACAGGAAATTGTCGGCAATAACAGGTGAAAGAGAGTATAGAAACATTAAGACTTTCGTAGTAAATAGTTTTCGTATTTATTTAGCATTATATTTTATTGAAACGCTGCAAGTGCCTGTGGGAGAGAGAGGCAGGCAGCGCGGGAGGATATACAGACGGAGAAGAAGCAGATAGCGAGGGGGCAGACAGCGGGGGAAGGAAGGGGAAGCTCGTGGCGGGGGGAGACATGCAGGCAGGGCGCGAGGCACACAACGAGGGTAGCGTGGTGGAGGTGGGAGTAAGGCAGGTAGCGGCAGCGGGGAGGGGGGGGCAGACAGCAGGGGAGAGACTAGCTCTAGTACTATAGCCCCGCGTACATTGACTGCGCAGGGCTATAGCACTTGTCGAGCGTGAAATAGCATCACACCGGTTCGCTAAAGTTCCCGAGCGAAAAAAATCCGCGTTAGCAAAACGCAAACATCATCGGGCTTTTTTAGACACACTTATCTATGCAGCCATCGCAGGACATGCTCACCTATGCTTTTTAAACACTTTACACAACTTTACACCTAGGTATGTTATGCATTTAATTCCTTAAAGTCGGCCAGCACTGAGCGTCCAATTCCGTTTGACCACTGGCTGCGTGCTGGTGCACGCGTGACGTACCGCCGAATGTGAGCTGCATCAAGTAGGCAACAACACATGGCCGCTTACACCTGTGCAGCGGTATGAATCGGCAGCTACATCTTCGGGTCGACTGTCACCGTGCACCACACAGCATTCAACGGAGAAGTTTGGGAAACGTAGTGCTTACTTTGTCGATAAAAGGATAAATACATGGTGTAAAGTTGTGTAAAGTCCTCAAAGGAAAGAATAGGTAGATGCTCGCACGTAGATAGATAAGCTGTTAAAAAGGTCCGAATATTTTGGGCATTGTTGTAAAGCGATTTCTGCGTGGGAACTTTACGAACGCGGTGTTGATGCCTATTCGCCAGCTGACAATGTGCCTAAAAAAAAAAAGAAAAAAAAGAAAAAAGAAAGAAAGAAAAACAAAAAAAAAAAAAAAAAACAAAAAAAGAAGAAAGGCAGAAAAAAAAAAAAAAAAAAGGGAGAAAAAAAAAAAAAAAAAAAAAAAAACAAAAGGAACAGGAAAAAAAAATAAAGAAAAAAAAAGAAAAAAAAAAAAAACAAAAAAAAAAAAAAAACCAAAGAAAAAAAAACAGAAAAAAAGAAAAAAATAAGAAAAAAGGAGAAAAAAAAAAACAAGGAAAAAAAAAGCCCTGCAGCAGTCAATGTACGCGGGCTAGTAGTACTAGAGCTAGGGAGAGACACGGCAACGAGGAACGAGGCAGGACAGCGGAGAAAGACGGCACGACAGCGGGGCAAGAAAACACAAGCAGTAAGAGAACGACAATCGTGCACACTGCACACAAAGTGGAGAGCGAGAGAGCAGAGAGAGACGAGAGACGAGAGAGAAGAGAGAGGAGAGAGGGAGAGAGAGACGAGAGAGAGAGAGAGAGAGAGAGAAGGCAGAGAGAGAGAGACGAGACGTAGAGAGAGAGAGGAGAGAGAGAGAGAGAGAGAGAGAGAGAGCAGACGAGAGAGAGAGAGAGAGCAGAGAGAGAGAGGAGGAGAGAAGAGAGAGAGAGAGAGAGAGGAGAGAGAAGAGACGAGAGAGAGAGAGAGAGAGAGAAGAGATAAGAGGAGAGAGAGAGAGAGAGAGACGAGAGAGAAGAGAGAGAGAGAGAGAGAGAGAGAGAGAGAGAGACGATGAGAGAGAAGAGAGAGAGAGAGAGAAGAGAGAGAGAGAGAGAAGAGAGAGAGAGAGAGAGAGAGAGACGAGACGAGAGAGAGAGAGAGAGAGAGAGAAGAGAGAAAAGAGAGAGAGAGAGAGAGAGAGGAGAGAGAGAGAGAGAGAAGAGAGAGAGAGAGAGACGAGAGAGGCACGAGAGAGGAGCGAGCAGAAGAGAGAGAGAGAGAGCAGTAAGAGAGAGAGAAGCAGCAGAGAGAGAGCAGAGCAGAAGAAGAGAGAGAGAGGAGAGAGAGAGAATGAGAGAGAGAGAGAGAGACAGAGAGTTAGAGAGAGAGAGCGAAAGAGGAGAGAGAGCGCAAAGAGAGAGAGAAGATAGAGGCGAAGGGAGAAGCAAAGAGAGAAAAGAGAAGGAGAGAAGAGGAGATGAGAAGAGAGAGAGGAGAGAGGAGAGAAAGAGATGAGAGCAGAGAGCAGAAGGAGGAGAAGAAGAGGAGAGCAGAGAAGAGAGAGAGAGAGAGAGAGACGGAGGCGTGTGTACAGCCCGTGACCAGTGGACACGGCCCCGATCTGTCTCCGGACGCACACTGCGCGTCAACCTCTGACATCAACGTTACCATTAGCATAATCGGAAGCAATGAAGCCAACGCACCAGCTTCACAAGCTCTCGTCTGCTGTATAGTGCGGGTAGGCGGCCAGTCAGCCAACCAACCAACTAAGCACGCACAGGCGCATCCCCGTGCGTGTGTTCCCAGGCGGCCGCCACCAGCGCCCATTACGAACCAATTGGACGTCGAGGACGGCAGACGAAATTGGGTTTTTTCTCTACTTTTCTGAATGATAGACTTCGGCGTTCGACGCTTGAATGGCGGGCTGCTTTTCTAAGTACTTGTACGTGACGGCAGCGTCGATATATCTGCGTCGTCCCGCCGGCGGTCTGCAACTTAACGGCCAGTTAATCAACCCGTCGAAAGCTTCACTTATATGTATGTACCAGCGGCCCATGGCTGCCACACACACGCACTCACACACACGGACGGGGAGGGCGCGCCTGGCACTACCGGGCTGCCACACGTACGCGCGCACGTACACGCGCGCGCGCACACACACACATACACACACTCACGCGCGCGCCCGCCACTACAAGCACTAAAGGGCTGACACATACGCGCGCGCGCACACGCACACGCACATACGCGCGCGCGCACACACACACACACATGCACGCACGCACGCACGCGCACGCGGCCTGCCCGACTGCCCCCAACACCCGAACATGCTGTTTAATTGCGAGGCGGATAAAAAAAATCTATAAGTGTCAGCTTCGCTACGTGTCAGCGAGGCGGCGTGAAAACTTCGTGCGCGCGCGGAGAACGCGGAGATGTGAGCTGCCGATCGCTATTAGAGTGCATCGTGGGGGCGGCAAGCGGAGGGTGTCTACTTACTATAGACTGAAAATCTGTCGGCGATAACGAACGTGCGCGCGCATCGTCTTATATACGAGCACCGATGGTCGGCCACTCTCTACACGCCAGGGTGAGGTGAGGAGGAACGAAGGTGCGGGGGTGATGTGTGTGTGCGTGTGTTGGTGAGGGTGGGGTGTGGAGGAACGAAGGTGCGGGGGTGNGCAGGTAGAGAGACAGACAGGCAGATAGACAGACAAACAGACAGACGAACACACACACACACACACTCTCTCTCTCTCTCTCTCTCGGTGCTCGCCGCACCGCAACTCTTGCCTCCCCTCCCACGGCTACGTGCGCGCCTGTTCTCCCCATGCGTCACACACACACACACACACACACACACACACACACACACACACACACACACACACACACACACACACACACACACNTGTGCACACAATCATCACACACACACACGTGCGACGCACGCAATACGCATCCGTCACGCACAGCACTGCACCACCACACACACAACACACCACACACACACAACAACACACATTCACACACACACTCACCTGTAGTCATTAACACGAATCTGCAGCATTATTGGACCCGCAAGATGCATGGTAATCGATCCCAACCATAATTATCCCCATCAACGATAACGACCATATAGAACCAATCTGCATAAGGTACTTCCAAGCAGAGGGCATACATATCAGGAGATAGACTAAATAGGGAAGGAGTGTGATCTTCAATAAAACAAGGAAAATTCGTACATTTACAAGCAACTTAAGAATAACTACATCCCATTATTTACTACACAATCGATACATATATATGACAAATGACCAGATACAGCACAGCGGCAAGCTGCGGGTTGTATTTGAGTTGTTGGGGCAAGTCATACGATATCGCAACCCGTTATTTGACCAAGACTATAACCAAGGCAGCAACAACTCTGCCGGCACACAGACATTCTATCTATCTATGCGATCCAAGCTCTGATGTACAGTAGTGATTAAATATTTAATTATCACACACTGACTCAACTGGAGTTGTCCATCAATAGGTGCGAGAAACGCAAGCTAGCAGAACCACACAAGCCATGCACCTACGCGTTTTTCTGTTATTTAAATACTGACACACACGCAAACACAACCACCGCACATACAACACAACACCACGCACGCACGCATCGCACGCACGCACGCACGCAACGCACATGCATACAACACATCACACACACAGACACATCCACACACACAACGAGCACACTCAAGCCGCGCTGCACGCACGCACCACGCACTCGGCATACACCCGCACCGCACGCACAGGCACGCGGACCGGGGCACGCGCCGGACAGGGGCAATGCCACACACACACACAGCAGGCAGGCACAAAACACGCACGTACGCACGCACGGCCGCACGCACGCGCGCGAGCAAAATATCCCACGCATTGTAGCAGCCAAACATTTGTTTAGCATGCATCACCGATTTTCTCCTGCATTATTTTTAATAAACTAAATACACTAACAGTATAGGGTTCGCTAATATAGAACTCCAGACATATTAGACAATTATACAAATATAGACAATAGACAAATATACAACATTCCTCAAATGAAATATTTGTAACCGAGCCCCCCGCCCGACCCCACATTCCGGAAGTCAGTCTCTTCCTATGTGTCAAAATATTTGCTTTCACTTTTAGTCATTGCTGCACACTATAATTATAGAGAAAGATATCTAAAAACTATATATTATGATACGCGATAATGTAATGAAATACAGCCTGCTTGAAGTTTTTGCACGGGTAACAGGATCGAACGACATGAGCACAACTATAGCACGGCGTAACGAGGGCATTGTTGCCACACAAAAGCACGCGGGCAGAGCCGGCTAACTGTAGTGTGTAGTAGCAGCAACTCATCTATGTCGACCGCCCGCGGCATCCAGCGATTGTCAAGTGGACGCATTCCACGAAATCCTGCGCCCGCGTTAGTGACAGACTTTTCTTACTTAGTGCACCTTCCTATAGCTAATCGTGTTTAATAAATCATTACTAGTGGGTGACAGACGGCATGGCGGACCCACAGCGCGCAGGTAATAGTGTAAACGCATGCCGAAAGGCCATTCACGTTCCACGGGGATGCACTACCTGCACGCCATCTATGGGAGGAAATTGCGTTCAAATAATTATTTCACTACGACAAGGTATGCACATAATCAAACGACATGCACAATTACGCACGCACCTCCGTCCGCGATCCAGCTCTCTCCATGAGCCGCACTGCAGCAATGTGTTTGAATACACGAATTTCATAATGTGACGTGATTATTTCTTCGATTAACTTCGTCATCCCCATCCTACTCCGTCATTATTCTGATCCCCCTTCTCTCTCATCATCCCACCCTCCACTTTCTTACTATCCACCCCTCTCCGTCCCCATCCTCCTCCTCCTCCCCCTCCCCCATCCACCCATCTCCATACCCATCCCCCTCCCTCCCCATCTCCTTGCACCCTCTCATTACCTCAGCTGAGCTCACGTCACGGCTGCAGGTCGGTGCGTAGGTGCAGCACCCTATATGCCTCATCCCCCCCTCCCCAGCCTCCTTCCCCTCCCCCTCCCCCCTCCTCCCCCTGCACCCTCTCATTACCTCAGCTGAGCTCGCCTCACGGCTGCAGGTCGGTGCGTAGGTGCAGCACCCGGTACGCCTCGTCGCAGCCGAGCCGGTAGATGGCGCCCTCGTGCAGCGCGGCGATGGGGTCGGCACGCTTCGTGCGGTCGTCGTCGTCGTCGCCGCCGCCACCGCCGTGCACGACCACGGCGAGCACCTCGCTGAGCAGCATCGCCGAGCCCGGCTTCAGCGTTAGCAAGGTGCAGGCTTCCTTGACGCTGTGTGTTACGGGGGAGAGAATAGTGAGGAGTTAGTAGGTGCAGGCTTCCTTGATGCTGTGTGTTACGGGGGAGAGAATAGTGAGGAGTTAGTAGGTGCAGGCTTCCTTGATGCTGTGTGTTACGGGGGAGAGAATAGTGAGGAGTTAGTAGGTGCAGGTTTCCTTGATGCTGTGTATT